TTTTTTTTTTTTTTTTTTTTATGTATGTTACCGCATAACTTTGGACCGCGTCAACCGATTTCGATAATTTTGCATCGGAAAGGTAGTGTCTCAGAGGTGGTCCCATACTAATCTGGTTGAGATCCGATCAGTGGATCATGAGATATACATATATATATATATATATTTTTTATATGGGAGTTGAAGTCGGTTTTTTTTTTTGCTAAAAATTACTTGTTTTATTCTATATTGCAATGAATTTTTAAATAATTTTTGGAATTAATCATATCTTTGAAATTACAAAGTCCTTTAAAATAAGTCCTGGCGTCAGAGTGAAAAAATAAAAACGCCTCTTTAAGTAAAAAAGTCGTTTCAAACCCATTCATTTATTATTTACTTTGTGGTAGGAGAGCTTCTCAAGCAATTTTTTCGATTTAAGTTGTTGAAAAGTAATGAATATCTAAATCCCGGCACTAATCCCGGGATCCAGGGATTGTGATAACGACGAAAGTAAAAAGCGAAAAAATTAACATCCCTAATGTGTACATACCTATTTATGTGTGTAGTACATACGTATACAAAGTTTCAACTAACAAAGCCGCATATCCTCTATTCCTTTATTATCCTGTAGCGCTCTGTGCTACACTTTACTTTAAACTTTTTATGATCTTCATTCGAGTGGTCCCGTGAATGTGCGTGTAATGTAAACCATGCAAGAGCTGCATGAACTATGACAATTACTAACAAATACTCGCACAGAGAGATACTCAAATTATGATTTGTATGACATCTTTCGGTGAAAAGTTGCACACTCTAACCTCAATTGCTTGCCACTGGCAAATATACTTTTGCATACAATTGAATTTTGCGTACTCATGCGGCATGCATGTCATTATACACATACATGCATACATACATATTTGCATGCTTGTTTATGGTCTGTCTTCGTGTGCTTTGTTCGCCACTTTTGTGATTTACAAGTGCTCCGCCACTCGACGCTGACACTCTTTCACTCTTTTCTTGACTCCTTTCGGGCCATACTTAGTAAGACTTGCAACTGACAGCGCATTGCAACATGCCTGCTGTAAGACAAGATGTTGTTGCCGTTACACACACATTCAGTTCAAGTTGTTGTTGGTTTTTGGCTTCTTCTTTCCCTGCAAAAATTTGAGGACCAGGTGGTCCACTGGGTCGTAGTTTTAAAGTATGAGCAAAAGGACCAGGTTTCATACTAGTAACTTGTTATGCTGACCTGGACCACTTCAAACGTAAAAAAACTGATATATGTGTTGATATATGTCTTCGTGGCCGTTCGGCAATATGATTCGGTTGCCGAATTAGCCATGGTCCAAAAGGAGTAGTTGTCTAGGAGGTTCCATGTAATGCAGTGGTGGACCAGAAGTGGTCCCATGTTATGCAGTGTTGGACCAGAGGTGGTCAGGTCCAATGACATCGCAATGTTAATGTAACCATATTTTCTCCATATATTTGGACCATTTCGGTTACTAGTGTTGGTTATAAGGTAACGTGGTCCTGTACTAGTACTTAACCTAGTCCCACTTTTTGCAGGGTTATTACTGGCTTGGCTGCCCTACATGTTATGAGACATTTTGTGTGCATGTGTGGGTATATGAAATGTAGTGCCTTGCGTGCTCCGCCTCTTTCAACTTAGCTGCTCAGTTATTTTTAAGTCGAGTGTCATTATTCTGTGCTGCTGTAGTTTCACTTTTCTAAGAACGCGTACGCTGCTTTGCTTTGACCTGCTCTGCTGCATTTATTACTTGCAATATTGACTGCAACACTTTTGTCAGGCGAAATAATTTTAAACAGTCTTTCAAGGAACAGTCATCGTTGAGAGCAGAATATATATATTGTTTAAATATATTTTGAAATGTTAACTAGTTGTAACCTCCTTCCATTACTTAACTTGTCTCTTAAACTATCAAGTCTATAATTTCAATTGTGATATTCTTTTACAGCAAATTGACTTTTCAAAGAGGAAGAGAAAACCATCAATGAGATTCAGAGAATTCGAGGCAGAGTTTCTAACCACGAAAATCTCTAAATAAATTAGGGAGAGCC